TGTGTGTGTGTGAGTGTGTGTGAGAGAGTGTGAGTGTGTGCGTGAGAGCACACCTGTTGTGTGTGTGTCGAGGCTGCTGAGAGTGTGTGGCTGTATGGTCCGAGGCTGATGTGGAGCAGTGATGCTGGCGAGGGTCACCTCCACACTGGTCAGCGGCGGCAGCACATCTCCACACATGTACGGTGGAGTGGGCGGGTTCTCGCTCTTCACCTGAGAAACAGAAGTGAAGACAGGAAGAGTCCTAATGTTTGCTCAGCTGCACTGAAACAACACTAATGACATATGCATACTCCCGTCATGGTTTAGCGCCAGGAAATATTTTATTTACTGTATCATCTGAATCATAAGAGCACTGTTTCACAGCCTGCAGAAGAGCTGCACTGTCTGGAGTCACAGGGACAGGCCGTACACACCTGAGGCTCAGGTAAAGATGGGATGGAGCTGTCAGAGGTCAGAGACGACGCAGGTGACGGAGGTTCAGTCTTCACCTGGAAAACTACGACACACACACACAACTTACTCATGCCTTTCACCAGAGTTTCATCTGAAACAAGACTGCGGCAAAACTCACTGTCTGAAAACTAAATCATCTATAATCATCACCTAATCATCTACAACAATTTCAATGCATTAATTAAAATAATAATAATCCTGAACAGATCCTATTTACAAAAAAACACTAGACGGGGAAGCATGCAGACAGGGTCACTTACACATGTCCACTGACAGAGGTTGTGTTATCGTCATTTCATCCTTCATGACTGACACTTCACCTACAAACAAAGACACAGCACACAAAGTGAGGGATCAGGTTATTATTTTTTATCAAGTAGAGAAACACAGCCTGGTATACAGTAGCAGTTGCTGAGCTCTAAGCATCAGCATTCAATCATTAAACACAAATGTTTGCAGGTCAGAGTCCTTCTGCAAAAAGCCAATAAACTGCACTCTGCATACATCATTCATCCTTGTGTGCGCGCCTATAGTAAAAACGTTCTGTTTATGAGCTGAATAATGCCAAAGATTGTCATTTATAAGCAAAGATGAAAAATTAGCTCCCTACCTGACACTGTAGAGTTCTCTTGAATTTCTCTAATATTGTCTTTGCTAATAAAGAGCCTTGGACTCTGCTGAACTAGAGGAACAATCATGAGAACTGCATTATAAAGCAGATGAGGTGCTGGCGTCCCACCTGTGAAGTGGTTCTCCAGGTTCTTCCATGGTGCAGTGGGGTTATCAGGGTCCAGCGTGAGGACAAGATCACGGTCCAGCTGACAGACAGACAGAGACACGCAGACACATCACTTGACCAGCAAACAAACACTACATTAGACTTATTATGCTGTATTTTTAGGACAGCATTTTCTGGAGTCTGTCGCTAATGGCAATAAAATATCATAGCTGTTCAGGCTATTTGTGACCCTGGAGCACAAAACCACTCATAAGGGTCAATCTTTTGAAATTGAGATTTACACATCATCTGAATAAATAATATTTCCATTGATGTGTGGTTTGTTAGGATAGGACCATATTTGGCCGAGATATAGGCCTGTCGCAATAATCAATATATCGACTTATCGCGCAATATATGTACATGACCTCAATATTTTTTGGTGACAATATATCGGCCATTATATTTACTTAAAAATTAATGTCACCATGTTTTTTGCATTCCACTTGCGCCTGTATCTTTTGCAGCGTCTCGTACATAACGTGGTGTAGTCATGAGGTGCTAGTTCAAATTTAAAAAATGCTTCTACAAAAAAAGTTTCATCTGCAGATATGGCCTTGTATAGGGATCTGTGCCTTTGTGCACATGGACATCTGACTGCTAAGTAGTGATTGTGTTTCTCAGCAATAGTGTGCACCCTTAATTTACAGAGAAAAGAAAGTCAGGGAAACATCTGCACATGGAAAAATCTCCATACAAGTTCTTTATGCATTTTTCGTTTCATGATCTAAATGTTCTTAAAAATTAAAAGTTTGTTGTCATTTGGAAGTGTGTAGTGTGTGCGCGCACGCGCGTGTGTGTGAGAGAGAGAGTGAGAGAGAGAGAGAGAGTGTGTGTGTGTGTGTGTGTGTGTGTGTGAGAGAGAGAGAGTGTGCGTGTGTGTCTCTGTGTGTGTGTGTCTGTCTGTGTGTGTGTGTGTGAGTGTGTGTGCGTGAGTGTGTGTGCGTGAGTGTGTGTGTGTGTGTGCGTGAGTGTGTGTGCGTGAGTGTGTGTGTGTGTGTGCGTGAGTGTGTGTGCGTGAGTGTGTGTGTGTGTGTGCGTGAGTGTGTGTGCGTGAGTGTGTGTGTGTGTGTGCGTGAGTGTGTGTGCGTGAGTGTGTGTGTGTGTGTGCGTGAGTGTGTGTGCGTGAGTGTGTGTGTCTGCGTGTGTTGAGTTATGAACGTACCGATGTGTCATATTTCAGTTCTCCAGTGAAATCCTCCTCCATATCCTCACACTGATACAGACAGGCATCTGACAGACACACAGACACACACAGATTATGTAAATATAATAGCAAGGGAACATGAGGCTTCGAGAGCCAGAGGGTGTCAACTCTTTGAAATGGATAACCAGGGTAAATTGTAGTTATTGTTTTCTGGGAAACATCTTTGTTTTAAGTGTTTTATGTAGCTTCTGAAGGGCAGAGCCACAACCTAATCTTTAAAATATAATCTTTAAACAAAATTAGAAAAATGTACACATCCTTATCAAAAGTTTACACCCCCTGCTCTTAATGCACGGAGCATGAACATTTGTGCATTTTCATAGCGCTTGCGTTCGAGTCCCTCAGCAGTCCTCAGTGTGTGAAGACGGATCTCAGAGTCCTACAGTCACAGCTGGAAAGAGTTTGAATAAACTGAAGATGCTGGAAAACCAAAGCAAGACCTGAAGGATTTTCCTGAAGAACAGCGGGCTGTTGAACTGCTCGAGACAAACAAGAAACTCACAAACAACTCTCACAAAACACAAAAACAGTCACTGACCACTGACTCACAGTATTCAAGGCTATGTAACCATTTAGTAAATTCTGCTATTTGTTTTGTAGACTGCATGTAACCAGCTGTTATTTGAAATATGTTGAGATATTGCTCATCCTCCACACAGTCCACTCCTACATCAGTCCTGACTCAGACCTGCAGCACCTGTCCTTTCACAGCACCCTAACAATGACGTCCGAGCGGGAATGAAATCGAGACACATGTAACAGAAGATCTCAGGCCTCCAGGTGCTGCTGCTTCTGTATCGTTCCCAGGGACAGGACAGGACAGGGTTCAGAGCAGCTGCTGCGGAAACCCATCAGAGGAATCACACTTTTGATAGGCTGCTTTACTAACACTCTTCTGTACAGTTAAGAATTCGTAAAAGGATAACTATTAGTTTTGTAAGACACTGAGCATGCACTCAGAACACCCTAGCAACCACACAGCATACCTAATCAAACCACATAGCAACGCCCTGGCAACCGCCCACAGACCCCGAGCTAGCAGCACTACTCCAGCAGCTACAGCTACTAATAATGCACACATTCATATAGTGAGGAGGCATCAGGAAACTCTGATTCATAGATTTTCACATAATTACATTTGATTGTAGTTACAAAAATATAAAAGGGGAAATTGTATTTCTAGTCAAAGTGAGACAGCTGCTGAGGGGAGACATGCGCACACTAACACTAGCCGGATCCGGAGTGACTCCGGAGTCAGCGGAACTCCCCTCACACTGACTGTCAACCATCCACCGAGCCGTTAACGTTACTCACCCCAGTCCCACACACACACACACACACACACACACACTCAGCGGGAAATCACAGAGGCGGGGCTGATTCTACCTCGAGCGCCGTGCGGTCACGTCCATCGGTTAGTGAAGCACCGAAACCGTGAAGCAGATTAAATTAAATCTGACCGATCGCTTTTGTTTAACGGTTTAGCTCGCCATTCCGCACCGTCGCTCGACTGACATACACAGACAAGGAAACTCATTTCCTTAACAAGCCCCGCCTCTTAGTGTTCCGATCAGCCAATGGGAACGTAGAACAAAAGATTGGCAGGGCGGTTGGCCTCTCGAAACCCAGAACGCATGCTATTGGATGACCGATGAGCCAATGGTGTGATTTTCTCGCAGGAAGGCGGGTTGTTCTGCTGCAGAAGCCAGTAAAAACACGCTTTGGCGATTGACGGTATTATTGACCAATGAAGTTATGCATAATGTAGCCCCATCTACACTGCGCCTTTGTTCTGGTGTTATTGTTTTCGTGCCTAATTTCTACTTTTGCAAAAACGTGTGGTTCCGTCATTTACATTAGAAATGACTTTGAATTCAGCAGCTATTAGTTTATTATAAAGATGTTTGTGGAAAGTTCTTGAATCTGTAGCTCTTGCACAACTTACAATCGGGCCAGGTAAGGATACCTCGATTGTCATTTGTCACGTGGAGTCGAGCATGAGAACAGAGAGCCAGAGGAGCGTTCAAGTCATGTCGGATAGATCGTATTTACGAGTTGTACGCACATGAACGCCACCACAAAGTCGTTATTACGAGTGGGAAACTCGACATTTTCTTTAAGCCCCGAGTTTCCGAGTTGGGGGCGTGTCAATGAGAAACATGGCGGAATCGATGGATGCAACGTCTGTAATTGACGGTAAATTTGGGTTTAAATTGATAGTTTAGTTGTCCTATAAACTTAAATTGGATTACAATTCTGCGCGCGAAAGATCATAATTTGAGCGCGCAAAAGTGCGTTTTGCACGCGCGCGAACTGAGTTTTGTGGAGAAAATGTTTGTCTCGCAAAGAAGAAAGTATTTCGAGCAAACGAAAATCAATTTTGCATTTAAAATACGTTTTTGGATGTGTGCAGACCTTCTCTTTTGCGCGTGCAACGTTTCACTAGCTTGCTCCCCTAATGCCCTCAGTGCTCTCTAAATGCCAACAGCTCGCTTGCTCAACACAGCCGTAGAGAGAGAGTTGTGACAACTCCGTTCACTCCAATGGAGCAGTGTTTTACAGTAATGGCGGATCGTGGAGCCGCTCAATAGTTCCCGGAAGCTAGTGCTCATACTATCAGCGCCGTAGAGATGCAGCAGAAGAGACCGCTGTGATGACCTTTTAAAAGGTAAGACATTTATAGAACAAAATAGTATATTATCAGCACAGCTAATCAAATTTCCCTGTGCATTAAAACTGATTATTATTAGATTATTCCTCACTTAATTAGTAGATTTACGTGATGTTATTCATTCTCTTCATGCAGTTTCACCCATCGATGTGTAATTAAGGCTTTTAAAAGTGATTTTGCTGGTGGGGAGTTATTTAATAGACTTGGATATATTGAAAAGGATGCAGATGGACCTAAGTGAGAATGAAAAGTTTGAAATAGACGAGCAGTTTTCATTTCAGAATCATGCTAGGCTAAATTTCCAAAAAAGGTATTATATACCACTATATTATAT